CGTTTATTGTTTGTAGGTCGCAACTGTTGGACGGCGCGAATGTAGGATTTCCAGGGCAAGACGAACCCCTTGTGAAAGACGAGTATCTCAAAAGATATAATGAGTCCGCCAACAAAGTTGACTGAGGCTCAGTATGACGCGGTGGGGATGGAGATGAACTCCCGCCACACACCACGATAATCGTTGTATGCTTGGTCTTCGGAACGATCATTCTTGCGTTGGTGCCGTGTGTGACCAAGATGATCTTAGGTGCCTTTTATAGATATCCGTAAGTAGTGTTATATCTGTTCGATATTTCCAGATCCTTCCCGGAGAGCATGGAATGCTGTTCGCGTAAACGCTGCTACGGAATCAACCCAACGGGCCGCAAGACCTTGAGCTGTCTCGCCATTTGCGAGCTGAAGAAAGGGACCTGCCTATATGGTGACGGAAGTATTAGCTGTCTGCTTTGCTCGTAAGGCGTTTTCTGGCGCTTCTGGAGTATCCGCCTCGTTGCCGTCGATGAGAGCTGCGGCCTTCTGATCGTACGAGATGCATGTGTACTTGCCGTGGGTAAATGGCCCTAGGCAGGCATGCTTCCAGGCGACCTACTGCTTCTGTAGTTGAGGGTTGTTATTAACAAGAGTGACATTAAGGACGATGACGGTAACGATATCATGATGCGCAATGAGCGGCAAAGGATTGGACGGTGCCTATTTCCACAAAAGCCCCCGTGGGGTGTCACATTTATCCATCAGAAGGCATCCCCTGAGGATATGAGAAGTGCATCTAGACATGTTCAGAAATGCGACGGGAAGCAGTATCTGTGTGTCGGGTAACCTCCGTTCTCTGTTGACGTCGTTGGGGGAATTGGTGGCGGAAGATTCTAGACGAAGCATGGGGATAAGCGACCATGATCCCAACGGGGGACTATGCAGATCCGAGCTTCAATTAGCACGCCGTTGCATACCTTCCTCTGAAGTCGTAACTGGGTAGAAAACTTAGGAGTGCATTATCATAGCAGCAACGACTCAACAATCAACAATCTTTCTATGATTTGGGCTTTTGCTTGGTTACAATACCGTGTGACCAATAGGTACTTGCTTGACTGCCAACGGACGTAGGGACGTACTCACGCATACATCCGTAGGCTCGTCTCTCTCGTCGCCAAGACCCCTTGATACCGCTGTAATTACAGCGGCATGATTCCCCGGGGTCGTTGTATACACGGTGGCTCAATGCTCACGGCCGCGTGTACGTCCGTACCAGTATACGACTCGTTGCTTGCTTAACACTCCGTCGCCGTCAACTGAGAGGTCTTGATGAGATTTTATGTTTCTGTTGCCAACTCACGATAGCTACATAGTTGTACCTACTGCAAACGACAACTAAAGTGCAAATGGATAAACCTAGAAGCTTCGTGCCGTCTATGGGACAGCTATCCGAGGCGAGTAGTAAATGTTCTGTATAATACGGAATACTTAAGCAAGATAGACAGCCTACAGGACTGTTTATGGTGCGCGGGCGGAACTGTGCCAGATGGCTGAGACTACATGATTAGGAGATGAACAAAATACCTAGCAATGACGATTTAATTCATCATTTAGACCATCGTATACCGTAGCAAGTACGAAAAGAACCCCTCCTTGCATCAAATCTTCACAAGTACCCTGTGCGCCGTTGTAAAAGTACAAAGGGGTAAGGCTGGGATGCCACGTGGTGGGCGTAACGGGCTCAAAAATTTCAGAACCGTCAATGAAAACGAAAACTACACAGACCGGGAAACTCCCATTAATATCAGAACACTCTCTGCGACGCCAATCTACTTGTAATGACTTCTCAGCTCTGTGCCTTAGCCCTTAGACAACAAGAACCCAACCCAACCGATCCCCAAGAATTTGCTCCCAACGCACTGCTTTGGACTTTTGTAAAAGTACAATGCAGAGACCTACACTCGCAGCCAACATGGACCCAGCCGTGACTTTGGCCGACCCTTCAGACGCAGGGTGGGCCAAACTTTGCAGCGCCCATTATGACAGGTATGAAGCCCGGGACTCTTCACAAGGGCCGCGGACGTTTCAACGAGCGCAAGCATTCCTTTAAAAGGGAAGACAGCGTCGCATTCAGATACCCCGCCCGATATTCCCGGAAGACGGTCACCAAGAGCGAAAACACCACGGTTCTGCGAAGCAATATGGAGTCCAAATCCGTTGTTCTACGTGGTCTACTTGATCACCGCGTCCTCACTTGGACCTCGCCCTTTTTCTCCTACCTGAAGAGGAGCATACCGCGCAAGGCGTCGGCTGGCAACGCGAAGCGAACCATCCTGATCACAGGCTTGAATGGCTACCTAGCTGGTCGGGCAGCTGAATTGGTTCTGCGAGAGGGATACCGGGTCCGCGGCACCGTTCGCAACAGGCTGGCTGGCGAGGATGTGAAGGCGGCTCTCTGCTGTCTGGGTTATCGAGCAGATGATATCGAAGTGATAGAGATTCCGGATATATGTCGACAGGATGATCTCAATCTTGCGGCCCGAGGTACGTAATTCATACCCTGTCCAAATGGGAGAATCAGGACTAATAGACCCCTAGGATGCAGCGCGATTTTCCACCTCGCGGCGCCCATGGCCGAAATCTGGACACTCCCCCCCTCGGAGGTGGTCCGAATAACGGTGGATAGCACGGCTGTCGTTTTGAATGCGGCAATGGATGCGGGGAGGACTATGAAAAGCGTGGTTTTCCTGTCGTCGGCAGCGGCCCTGTTCGATCTTCCAATGGAGGACCGGCTCTACACGGAGAGGGACTGGAACACGACGTCCGAGCGGATCTTCGAGCAGAAAGGCGAGGACACGGGCGGCTTTCACGCATATCTTGCTAGTAAGACCAAAGCCGAGAAGCTGTTCTGGAAATTCAGGGATGACCATAAGCCGTCATTTGCTATGACGGCTCTGCAACCCACGTGGGTATCTTTTCCGACGTCCTATTATCGTGGGAGCCATGCTAATGCTCGCGACAGATATTTCATCGGACCGCCTCTAATTCCGTGGAAAACGCCCAAGGATATCCCATATTCCAACCAGCACATCTGGAGCGTTGTAGCGGGTGAGGATATCCCCGGCCCATTGCAAATATACGGTGACACAATCGACATACGCGACGTCGCGCGAATGTTGGTGTGGTCGGTATCGAACCGGAAAGCCGACGGGCAGCGTTTTGTGTGCTCCTCCGCCGTCGGCGGCGGGCAGGCCGTTGCAGATATATTGGCAAAGCGTATGCCTGCGATTAAGATACAGCGGGGACAGCCCGGGCAAGGGTACTCGGCCGACTTCAAGCCTAGAACGAGTGGCGTTGCTGGGTTTGATGCCAGCAAGGCCGTTTCCATGACCGGGAGGGATTGGATCCCCTATGAGGAGAGTATTGTAGACATGGCGAAGTTCCTGCGCCGGTACATTGTGATACCTTCTACGTAACGACAAGTAGCGTCTAGTTGGCATTTGGACAGCGTTGTTTTCGTGAGTATCGGGTGTGTAGACCGTCATCTTGCAGGTGTTGAAGGATAAATGAAGTCTGCTCTCCGACCCGCCAAGCGGCCAGATGGTGTGGCCCACGATTGTTAGTCAATTGGCGCATATTTCGCCGCTTCTCGCCTCCGTCTGCATCCGCTTTTGACTAGATCGAGGCCATGATCTGGCGCTGTGTCTATCTAGACCCACAGAGTTCATCATGTAGGCGTGCCTTCGGGTTTGGCCACCTCTCTCTTCTTCGGGGAGCGCTTAGGCGTGTGAGGGCCGAATATCTTGTCTTTGGCTGCCCACCAGTTGGCTATGGTCCTTACCGGCACTCCGAAATAAGCTGACGCCTCCCTTAGATAGGGTCTCCGGAAGCCTTCCTCAACGGGAGGTGCGCCAGCGAGGATCTGGCTACCTGAAGGTCGGATTTCGTAGCCGAGTCTATCGTACTCAAGGGGTATTCGGTGGTTCTGGATGAACAGCAGCACTTCGACCTTTCTGCGTTTCTTATAGGACCTGCGGATGATCGCCCCAGGCTTCGGCGGTTTCCGCTTCCTGCCACGCGCCTTGAACTCTGACCTAGGTGGAGGTGATGGTGACGGTGACGGTGGTAGTGGAGGCGATGGCAATCGTGGAGGTGACGCCGGTAACGCGGGCGACGAGCGCAGCAGATTGGCCACGTCCATATTCAGGGCTGTAGATGTCCGAAAACGAAGAAAAAAGAGAGTCCAGAAACGATGGGTTCTACTGCTATAGGCAGAAATAGCTGATTCCGTTGATCCATTGCAGCCAAAGAATTTTCTGTAGGATTCGTGATATTCGCTCGCAAATTTCTCTGGCTTATATTACTTATAGCTATAGCTAATAACTAGGCCTTAGCTCCGGCTGTTATGGATGGGGTGGCCGTTGCCTCGTTGCGCGATTTAATTATACAGCAGGCCTGCCATGTGTAATAGAAAGTGCTGGAGATTGTTTCGCCGGGGATGAATTGTTGGCGGTGAACAAAAGTACATGACCCAAGGATCGGGTTCGCCCATTAACTTCCACTGATCCGCAACGGTTTAACCATTCCCGGGTCACTTACAGGCCTCACACCGTTTTAAAGGATGTTACATAGGGCGTTCAGTAACCATGGCTCTTGGAATTGGGCACGCAGCGGTACCTGATGTTAGGTGGGAGCCCGGAAGTTTGGGTGACAGCTTAAACGGTCACTAGGCAGAGGCCGAAGGTACCTAATTTCAGGGGAGGATCTGTTATTAGGGCCAGAGCTGCCACCCCACTCCAGCGGTGTTGCAGCACTGCTGCTCTTGTGCCAATTGGCCTAATGAACTCACTGCACGTACGGACGTACATGGTCTGGAATAACGCATCGATATAGACGTACGAATGCTTATAAGTTATTACGGATTACCCGACGGTCATTACAGATCATCGTGGCCACGAGGCACGGCGTTACCCAACCGCTCCGATGCCCGGCTCACGTACGGAAGTTGCGTCCTCCTCGGTAACATTTGCCCTGGTAGCTCAATTGGCTAGAGCGTCGGACTTTTACGGGCCTCTCGCCTGGCAAGTTCCGAGATCCGAAGGCTGCGGGTTCGACCCCCGCCTGGGGCGATATTATGGCAAGGCCGGCCAATCCTTTTTTTAATCCCTTTCCGCTTCCAACGTTTTACTGAGTTCTCATCGTTCCGTACGTAGACGCGTCGTTTTCTTTTACACCTGCATTCTAAAATGCCATCACCGACACCGATGCAAATCACGGGCTAAGGCTTAAGTTCGTCCGCACACGTTCGCGCCGTAGTTGGGCATGCAAGCAATCGCGCGAATTATTGGGCTTTAAGAGTGAAGCAGTCCAAGTTCTGAGCAGACCGCGATTTCGACCCGGGAATCGCGAATGTTCACAACGGCCATGCTATGGAGCCTCTGGAAATGGCCTTTTTTCGCAGAGAATAGGCAGGAGATCAAATTCCGCAAGAAGCGGTTGCAAGGGCTGCTTCAACACCTACTGCCCCTTAAGCACCGACCGACGACAATCTTGAAAGTGAAAAACTCTAGCATGGCAGTGAGGATATAGCAGATCATCTGAATGATTCATCGTGGTCTATGACGGTGTTGCTGGCCGTGTTAAAGCGGTCGACGTGCTTTGCTAATTGCGTAAGCAGCCGCTGCTAACAGTGGCCTTACCGGTATCGTATAAATGTCCGTTGGAAATCGGAATCGAAGGGTATCCCGGCGTTCAGGTTCTACTTGAGCTTCGTTTGAGTAGTGACCGAACTCGCCAATCCCTTTCCGCTCATATATGCCGTTACCTCTGTGAGTATAGCAGGAGCACTGATGTGAAAATGGTACAGAAATCGTTACTACCCTCTTTCACTATGAACTAGATAGGAATTTTCAACACGTCGAGTCAACCACTGACCCGTTCTTGTAGTAATACGTGAGCTCCGGCCACTCTGTTGATGGTCGGCACAGCACCTCCGCCTCCTGATTGCCTAGCAGCGTATAGTCAAAGAAAGCCTTCACGAGAGTATTAGTGACGTTGATCTGCCGAAGACCGTCAATAGTCCCAACAGAAAGATCGACGCCAGGCTCGACAGTCTTCCAAAACGTGTCGTCACTAAAGTCATGATGTAACGACCCGTTAATGAGGATTTTTCTGAAGTAAGAGCCCGTCTGCCACCTCGAAAATGAGCTCCATGCCGGTGGGATCAGCTGTTCCTCTCCTAACAACAGGATGGGCCGATGTAGATCAACGTCGGAGCTGTTACCTGCGAGACGCCCCCATAACGGCCCGTCAAGATTGAGGCCTGCTGCCAAGTTGAACGCATAACCCCCCTCTTCCTCGAGTATGCTCCCCAACGCGGCGCCACCCCCAAAAGAGTATCCCAGTAGTCCGAACAGGTTCATGTTGAATGGCGCGTCCAGCTTACGAACGAGCGCCGGAAAGTATCGCAAAAACGCCGCGTTGTCGACGAGCCGTGTCTGGTATAACGCGCTTACAAGGTCCACGTTGTTAAAGTCGAAATCGACACCGAAGACCCCAGTGCCATTCGGAAACCGCAAGAATGGCTGCTCGAAAGGGTGGTCTAGACCGACGACCGTGTAGCCGTAGGATGCCAGCTCCGAGAGTAGAATCGTGCTCCCTTCGGTCGGAGGACCAGCGCCGCCCGGCCCGTAGAGAATGGTCGGGAAGGAATTATCGCCGTTCGCGTCTCGGCTTAGGAACGGCGCGTTGTCTTGGAGATTCGACGTCAGCGATGCTAGCACTCCTGTCGTGTAGTTGTAAGACGACTCATAGAAAGCTGCTGTCTCGGGATTCAAGTAAGGCTTCGGCTTGTCCTCTGGTGCGTGTCTTGTGGGATAAAATATGGTCGCTAGGAATGCCGTGCTGATATTGTTCGGGGCTAACACGTCATGGTCATTGTAGTGCGGAATGGCATGTCTCATAACCCCAACGTGATATGGACCTGACGGTGTCGGGATAGATACGGCATCGATTGCCCATGACTGAGTTGAGATTAAGAATCCCAGTATCAGCGGGGCAAGAGTCGAGCGATGAGCTACCCGAGTATATGAATTCGCCAACCCCATGTTTCTACTCTTGCCTCGTGCCTCTTTTCCTTCTGTTATTCTTCCTGCTGCTTGGATGAGAGGTTCTGGTATGGCAGAACTGGCGGGGAGCAAATTGATATAATACAGGCCTCGGACACTCCGGAACGCATACGGTCGGTCTAGTATGTGCACCCGTCAGCTATGATGTTCAGCTCCTGACGGCTCACGAGTCCTACAGGGAGTCTTCCCCTCCCGTTACGAACCACACCACCAATACTCATATCCGAATCGCAAATGAAGTCTATTACTTTCTAAGGAAGGGAGTTCTTTTTACTACTGCGCCTGGATGCTGAGCTTATACTAGCTAACCTTCTCATGCTGAAATGTTGAACTCGCGATAGTCAGGTTCAATCTCAGAAACCTAGGGTCTACTTAGGGGTAAGGCTTCGGTGAGCGACGTTCCCAAGCGCCCTAGGATTGGCGGGGCCTGATATTATGGCTGACCTTGTCACTCCGTGGGTGCTACTTGGCAACGACCAGGTTCGATCATAGTGTCGATAGCCGCGCTTAGGATATCGACCTCTAAGGCTCAGTCTAGGTACCCATAGAGCTTGCTACCGGCACGGCGGTACCCTATAGGCTTTACCCCTACCGTGATGTACGCGGATATCCCGTCTCGTTGTCGATGCTCTATTAATGGACACCCGCCCTGCCTCCCGGTTGGAACAGGGTAGATCCGGATCGGGGCTACGTTTGGAATTGGCTCATGGTATCTGATTGTAAGACTCTTCGGTCGATTGCTTATGGCTATAGTGCTAAGATTTTCCTTGGGGTCTCATTCGGATCAACTCACCGACGAATCACGGCATGAACCATAATTGCCGTCTTCACAATCAATTAGATAATCTAGAACATTGGGTCTCAAGTCACTGTGAAGCATCAAGCAAAGATCTCCAATAAGATTTTCAAATGTTTTTTTTTGGTTTTTCTTAGTTAGCTCTCTATTTACCTAGGTACTCTCCTCTCAGCCCTCTGAGTGAAGCAGCCGAAGGGGTTCTATGAACCCTTCAGACAATCTTCCCGCCATCCTTCATCCAGTCGCCGGATGACTTGGGCGGCTTCTTCTCGTTCTTATCCTCGTAGTTCGCTGCCTCGTGGAGCCAGTCGAGGGAACCGCCTTTCTTGCCGTCGTTTTCTTTTTTCTCTTCCTTGCCGCCCTGGTTGTTCACAGGGTTAGGCTTCTTGTTGTCCTTGTTGTCTGGCATTTTGGCTTACTGGTTGTTGGTTGGTTTCTAGAGACTTGATGAGTTGGTGCGCTGTTGCGATGTTGGATGGTAGTTAGGTAGAGTTTATTCTATCCCACGGATTTATATAGTAGATCACAACCTATTCCTGTTCTGCAACTGCTCAGATGTTGAGTTAGAGGGATGCCGTTTCCTGTTGGATATTGTCAACTTAAAGTCTTCGTTGTTTTGGTACAGCTGCACAATTCCTTTGTTATATTCACGTTTCTGTGTCATTGTTCTGTTCTACACCATGGCGATTGTTGCCTTGCCTCCTTGGTTGCGACAACAATGCATTATGCTTTCAGATCATGTACTGGGAACTTGACGTGGCCCCGTACTTCTAGCTGGTTCTTGACCCCTTGTCAAGCCTTTGTTCGCCTGCAAATCCTGCTGCGAGTTGATTGTACGTTATACGTACATGATTCTCACGATACTTAGCTCACAGGTACGAACGTATGTTCAGGCCTGCACCCGACTGTCGACTAACCCGTCGATTGTCGGCCCACGACTATGCAGCGCAGCCCGGGTGGAAGTCTTCGCGGTAGCGCATGAGGCTCATCGTAAGGTTTACCATTACTAGTCTAGAAATCTAGTAGAAAGGGGTTATAACTATGCTCATCGCAGGTTGCTTCAGCCCAAATGTCGCAAACCAGATTGAACAATGGAGACTTACCTTCACTCTGGTACAGTCATATCTCACAGGAACCAGTAATTGCGCGAGGATGGACGTATCGTAGAAGTAGATCGTCTGAAGCATCTTGTCACGGAAGATCAAGGGAACACCATGATGCGTCGCCCAATTGATCACTTTACGATGACTCCATGAGAACCAACACTCGGATCTCGATAGGGCAAATCACGCCTGTTATCCAGAGCAGGAATTCATGGAGTAGAAGAAAGATCTGCCCGGAATGCGCATTCAGTGCTCCCAGGCCTGCCGGTATCTCCCGCTGCTATAGAAATTGGCTCTCAAGGGACTCAGATCCATTTAGACTGTTACCATCTAGGTCACATGGCCACCTACTGTATAAAGAAGCACATGCTTGGCCCGTCACAAACGCCCCTCCCAGTCTCCGGAAAGATAATCGGCGATCTCCTTTGCCTCGGGATGAGAAGAAGCTTTGTAGTTCCACAATCCCTGCAGAATAAAATGTAATAGGTGTATGCCGGGGGCATTTCCTCTCTCAGCTATAATAAAAGATGTTCAGGTCGGCGTGGTCAGTACGGCCATCTTGCCGCCATAGGTACGTGAGAGCGTGGACACTTCGACGCCACCATATATGTTTGTACGCCCTCATACCTTGCTCTCTCGTCTTGGGCGTCCCACCAATCCGTAAAGTCGGGTTACGCTCCAGCCCTCGTAGGTATCGTGGCACTGGTTGGCTGGCTTTACTTACTTGGTACTATTATACCACCACCTTCAGGCATTTCGTCAATATGAAACGATACTACCATTATATCACCTCTTTTACCGACTCGTCAGCCGCCTCATTCCCTTCAGTGGTTATAGGTTCGTCTATGGTACGAAGCGCCCGCCGCCAGCCTGGCGGTTGGGCAGCGCATGCCTCACTTTAATCTGACATACGCTTGCTGATATGCATACACCTTGGCAAAGATGATTACCTACACGGGTATTTTACATAATGGGCTGAAGAGATGTTCGCCGACTTCGGCTGGGGGAGAAATGTGAATCGCAGAATTCAATGGATGGCCGATGTTGTCGTTATTGTAGCATTCGTGAACGCACCTCACGTGGTATTATTCCATCTTCGCCGA